TCAAAGTCAGACTAACTTTGCCTGTGGGGCAGCTGCAAAGTCAAAGTCAAGCTGCAAAGAGCTGAACTGGAAGAATCCAGATGAATGCTATGCCCCAACAATGGGCCAAAGAAAGAAAAGGAGTTTGGAAAGTAAAGGTTCTTGGGGCCCAAAAACAGATGAGAATTGGTTACACTGTCAGTCTGAATAACGGGTGGTCTCATTGCTCTGTGGGGACAAACCTGTCTTACATTCTTGTTTCCACGGCCACCAAAGCAAAAAGAACTCAGAACTATGTAGCCACAATCAGGACCCAGGAATTCCTCCCTGAATTGGACAGTTACCAGTTTTTCTAGTTTAGCTGTATAAGGTTGAGTTGGTTTTTTGTTTTGTTTTAACCAGTCAAGGTACTGGCAGCTCCTGCCTCTGATGGCTGGCTCCCAGGCAGTAGGGCTCCATCTGGTCTCTGATACACTCTTGGGGACAGTTATTGGGAAACTGTGGCCCTTCCACAACAGAGCACATAAACCATATCCTGGAACTTACCCATGGCAAGTAAAGCTGGGAAACTCAATCAAGCAGCACCGAGACAGAGCCCAGGCTGATGGTTAAGAACCAATCTACAGATGATTACTTCTGACCTTCAGAGCCACATGGTAACTTGGGACCTAGATTCTAGTCTTGGTGACCTTGGACAGGTCACTTTCACCACTCTGGGTTTCAATTTCACCGTTTGTAAAATGAGGATGATAATCCCAGCCCAGCCTACCTCTTAGAGTTATTATGAGGATTTACTGATAATAATAATAATAACTCACAATTATATAAAGCTTTACAGTACTTTTCTCACAACAACACTTTAAGGAATGCAGTGCACAAATTTTTATACCATTTCAAAAATAGGGAAACTAAGACTCCAAAAAAGTGAAATGACTTTCCTAAGGTCCCACAGCTAAATTCCTGAGGCAGGATTCTAATCCGTCTCTTCACTCCAAGTCTAGCAATCTTTCCACTGTGTCTCTGAAGACATAACAGGGATTTGGAAATTATTAAATTCTCCTAACCCTAACCTCAATAACATTGAAGATTTTGACCCAAGAATAATTTGACTCAGCCCTAGGTCAGAAACAGAAAAGGTAGGAATCGTCCAGTAGAAATCATTAGCACTGGCTGTTCTTCCTTGGTTTACAAAGGGTCAGAGTTTCCTGGATTGCTTGTTATGGGTCCTACCAAGGGAGAGTTCAAAACTAGCACAATTGCACGGTCCAGGATGGGCCAATACTGCCACAGCCCTTCAGTGGGCATGGCTTCACACATTCCTCCTAGCCACCCTCTGTCCTAGAGTCAATCTCTTTGACTCACACAATTGACACACAATCTCCCTTCATTAGTAATTTAGCCTAGGACAGAAAACTCAGGAAGCATTTCTCAGAAAAGGATACCATCAGGCTCTCTTGTCAACATCCTGCAATGCCAAAAGCTGACAGCAGCTGTTACACTGAGTCTGAGCTGGGGATAAGTTGGGACAGCATGTGTCTCCCCTGCTTCCCCACTGCCTAAAGGATAAAGTCCAGATTCCCCAGCCTGAATTCTCCTACTGTGAGCCCTGTTGCTCCCACAAGGCCAGTCTCACTGTCCTCCAGCACACACGCATGCCCTTCATGTGGTTCCCTTTGCCTGGAATGTCTTCACCACCCATCTAAATGTTACTTGTCCTTTAGGTCCCAAGTCAAACCCTACTTCCTCTTGTTACAGCATTCATTTCTATTTACTTACTGTCTCTGCTTACCCTCTTGAGCACTTTATCATGTACAGCCCTTTAGGTCTCTTTTTTTTCCTGAGTGTATTTTGTTCCTTCCCTCCCCTCCACCCCTAATTAGATCAGAAGCTTCTGTGGGCCAGGCCCACCCCACAGTTTAAATTTCCCCACCACACCCAGGGACATGATACAGGCTTGCTTAATGAAGGAGAATAGGGAACAGCCAAGGGATTACCAAGAGAGGAAATCGCAAGGAAAAGCCTCTTCAGGACAAGCTCCTGCCTATGCCCACCTGGGGGAAGGGAGGGGCCCAGGAGCTGGCCAGCTCCGAGCAGGGCAGTCAGGGCAGGGCCTCATGCAAAGCTGACAGCTCACAAGAGCTGGGCCTGTAGAAGCTTGAGGAATAATGGCAAGCTGTTTGGAGCAGGGGGTGAGATGTGAGGGAAATCAACTCCTAGTAACTCCTTTGCAGCAAGAAGCCAATACTATATAGTGGATATCCCAACAGATTGGGAGCCAGACCAGAGTTCTCTTTCTGGCTCCCCTGCCTCTCAGAGCCAGTATCTTCAAAAGAAGACAGAGCAAGATCGGGTCAGATCTGGGTAGAATGAGGAGCCTTGAACAGGGGTGGCATGCCAGGTTTATTAAATCAGGCTCAAAACATTCTCTCTGACTGAGAGGTGAGTTACACCCTAAATCTGGCTCCTCTGGGGTTAGCAGGGGCTCACAGGTGTTTTTATAATGTAATAAAGATTTCCTTATTACAGAACCCTCTCTTAGTCGTACTGATTACAAGTTATGGCTAATAATAATTATAATAGCTAGCATTTATGTAGTGCTTCAAGGTTTACAAAGCATTTTACAAATATTAAATCATTTTATCCTCACAATAACCCTGGGAAGTGCTAATATTTTTCCCTTTTTATAGTTGAGGAAACTGAGGCAAACAGAGGTTAAGTGCATCACACAGCTAATAAGAGTCTGAGGCCAGATCTGAACCCCAGTCTTCCTGACTCCAGCTCCAGTACTCTAGTCACTGTGCCAGCTACCTGCCTAGACCTCTGAGATCACAGGGATAAAGAAAATTTGAAAGCTACTGCAGGATCTAGCCAGCTCCTAGGAGACGGAGTAGTGAGTGAAGGAGAGAGTTATTCATTTAAGCAAAGTAAACAAACAAACAAAAAACTATTACAAAAGCCCTTTAGGAAATGTCCACAGACCACTAACACCACCAGTGCTGCAGGGTCTTTAGAAAACCCTGAAGATGTTCTTGAAAAAGGGAGTCCCATTAAAATGCAAACTCCTTGAGGGCAAAGCCGTCGTCTCTTTGCACCTCTAATCTCTAGCAAGGTGACTGCCGCATTCTAAGTGCTTGTTGAATTGAACTGATCCAGAAGCAGAGCTCTAATACTTTCTAGCTTGCCCTTATGAATAGTACAGAGATGGTGACTCTCTCACTCGGTCAGAATCTCTCTCTTCACTCATGACCAAAGCTCTTCCTTACTGGCCTCGGGAGTCTTTTCTATGTAAGGATGCTTTCCTCCTCGCCCATCCTAACTCACCCTTCCCAGTTCACAGGTTTCTTTCTAGGCTATGTAAAAATGGGGATAATAATACTCGCATTATTTAGCTCACAGGATTGTTGTGAGGCTCAAATGAAATAATGAGTGGAAATAGCTTTATCAACCTTAAAGTATTATATAGATAACAGCCATTAGTTACACACAATTTATGATAAATTAGTGTTAAAATGATATAATTAATAGCAACATCTAGCTATGTGGACTTGGGTGAATGACTTGGAATAGAATCACAGAATTTTTTAGGGACTTCAATGGCTAATTTTGATTTTTTGAGATGGAGAAGCTTGTGACCTAGAGAGATGAAGTGACCTGAGTAAGGTCACTCAATGAGTTAATGACAGAGTCTGGGCCAGATGCCAGGCCTCCTAATGCCCAGGTCACTGTTTTTTCCACTACACCATGACAAAGTTGGATTCTACAGTCTCTAAATGATTGTCTTACAGCTTTGATATTATATTCCTTTTGATAATTATATGGAAGACCGGCATGGGGGTCAGAAGGAACAAAGCTAGGGAATCACAAGAAGCCAGCCTACCAGTTGGTCAGATCTAAGCATGATGGAATCTGCAAACTCAGAAGAAATATTCTCTCCTGCTTCACTTAAGCCACTTGAAAGGGCTCAGGCTTGGGAGTGGGGGGAAAAATCACACTTGGAAAAATGCACTTAAATTACAGGCGTTGGAGCTTGGTAGCTTGTTAACCAGGTATGTCTGGAGTCTCTCTTGTTTCTGAATCCTTGTTCATGCTTTTGAGGCTATTCAGGATAATTAGTTCAAAGTTCTGGCATTCTGATTAGGGTTTAGGCCTTTCTGTGAGACTTGCTGGAAAGAATTCCTGCTTCCTTTTTCACTCCCCCCCCTTTTTTTTTTCCTTCTGCCAGACCCCCTAGGACAGTATCTGGCACATACCAGGGACTCAACAAAAATCTGACTGATTGATTTCTCACCATTGCTTACAGGAGAAAATAATAAAATCATAAAATGTTAGGGCTGGGAAGGACCTTAACAGTAATCTAGTTCAATCTTCATTTTTATAGAGGAAGAAATTGAACCTCAAAGAATGGAAGTGATCTGTTCAAGGTCATACATGCAATTAGCAGCAAAATCCCAACTAGAACCCTAGTCATCTGGTTACCAGTCCAATGTTCTTTCCATTATACAACGTTGCCTCTTTCCACGCTCCTTAACCTGGCCTACCACATCTGGTTCCAAACTCCACTCCAGTATACTAGTTGCCTCAGTTCTCTTGAAAATCCTAGCTTCCAATTTTTTTCATACTGTTCCTTATCCTTGCAATATTCTTTTCTTCTCTTCCAGCTCTCTAAAGCCTATGCATACTTCTAGGCTCAGCTCAAATCCTACCTTCTCTGGACAGCACAGCTCACAGGGGCATCTCCCTCCTCTGAGCTCTTACACCATTCCCTCTGTATCACTCACTCAGCATCCATCATTCTGCCTAGATGTTGGTTATCCTTTCCACCTGTGGGAGTCTCAGGTTCACAACCTTCCTGGAAGGCCCTTGAGGCCAGGGGCAATGTCTTATACTTCTTCATGTCCTCATAGCCAGCACAGATAGGAGGCACTGAATCAATATTCTTTGACTATCACTTGCAAGTGAGGCTCTTCAGCCTCTAATCAAGATATACTGCATTCCCGCATAGACTCGCAGGTCAGCCTTACCTTCAGGTGTCCTGTGTGCATCTGGGCCCGCTCACACATGTGCAAGAAATACTTCACATTGGCCTCATCCACAATAATATAGACAGCCACCTTCCTCTTGAAGCCAGCATCCAGCAGATCCTTGAAGATGTCGACATCTGTGAACATGTCCATGACCACAGCAATCACCTGTCAGGGGAGAGGCCAGGAGAGTGAGACCCCAGCCTGCTCAAAGCACGAGTGAATCCCAATCTGCCCAAACCTGTTAGAGCTGGTTCAACTTGCAGAACATGGCCTATGCCAGAGCCTTCTCCCCTACCTTACTACCTTAACTGTGCCAGTTTCCCCAGAAGTTCCTAGATGTAGGGACCAGGATCAGAAGGTCAGAACTGAAAAAGACCTGAGAAATAACCTAACATCTATTCCAAGTCCCCCAATTTAATTAATTTTATTATTTTTGAGACTAGGTTTCCCTATCTGGCTTGGGCTAGAAATACAATGGCTATTCACTGGCCCTATCACTATGATCCCTATGGAAGCTTTCACCTACTCCATTTTTCCACTCTGGTCTGGTTCATTCCTCCTAAGGCAACTTGGTGGCCCTCTGATCCCACAGGCTGACCATATTAGTGCTGGACTTAAGCATGGTCCTGATAGCCCTAATACAGCTCAGAACTCCTAGAACTACCAGCCTCAACCTCCCCCAGTAGCAGGAATTATAAGCAGACACCATGATACTTAGCTATTTTAATTTTTGGTAGGCAAGTTTTGTTGATGCATTGTTGTATTATTGAAATTTCTGGAAATTTTTTTTTTAATAACAAAGAAAAACAAGCAAAAACCAGCTGTTACCCAGTGAACACATCTAACAATATTTATATTCCACCCTCGTAGTTCCCTCCTCCCTTTACAAAGAGAGAGGTATGCTTCACCAAACAGAGACCAGAAAGAGGGAATTCGGTTGCCTGAGGTCACCCAGCAAGTAACAGAGCTCAGCTAAAGGCTGATTCTGGTGAGCCCAAGTAGCGTTTGCCTTAGTATCCTGGGAAAAGAGGGAGAGCCTTTTTCTGTACCTTGGGCTGATGCTATCTAAATAAATGGTCTGAGATGCAGAGGAGAGGTGGAACAGGCCATTTTCATGTTTGAATTTTGAAAGTTGCACCAGTTGGAAAGTTTTGGTAACATAGTGTAGGCTTAGAGCCTTCACTGTCAGTTATGCAGCTTGTCTCACTAGAAACCATCTTGATGCCATGGAGAACAGAATTTCTTGGCATTCTATGTGCTCTTATTAAAAAGAAATGTGTACAAGAACTACTCTGGCCAGGTAACTTGCCTAACTTGACTATCCCAACACCTGGCTGGAGGATGCTTGATCCTTTTTGGGTCAGCCCAAAGGCGGGGTAGTTCTGGGCTGCTGGTTTTCCCATTCAGGTCTATCTGTCCTCTGAGCTCTCCTGCCATCTCAGCAAGAGCAGAGGCCGTGGCCTTTAGACTTGTGGCAGAAAGAACAAACAACCTGTTACCTCTGAGCTCATGATGGGGCTTGGCTTCCACAACACAAACTCAAAGTCTATTTATTTCCTCATGGCTCCCAGCCTGGTTTCCTCACTCCCCCTCTGTAAGATTTCTAAACTTGCCGGAGGCTTGAAAACCCACTCTTCAGAGGGATTCTGGAACCCCAAACTTGGTGTGGGTAATCAGATAGAGCCCAAAGTCCACATTCTCCCACCCCTAAATTCAGCTAGGACTGATGACTTACTTCCCTTAGCTTCCCCCTCAGAGGTTTACTGGTCGGTCAAGGGCATCAAGAGCTCTGTGCTAGAAGTCAGGAAACTTCAATTTTAGTCCTGGCTCAATCACTGTCTCACTGTGTGAGCTCAGGAAACTCACTTTCCTTATCTGAGCCTCAGCTTCCTACTGTGTAAATCAAGAAGGTTTCACTAGAACAGCGATTCTTAACCTTTTTGTGTGTCCTGGACCCCTTTGGCAGTCTGGTGAAGCCTGTAGACCCTTTTTCAGAATGATGTTCTTAAATTCATAAAATAAGATACTTAGTAGTACAAAGGAAACCAATTCTACTGAAATAGTTATCAAAATATTAGGAAAAACAAGCTCATGGACCCCAGGTTAAGAACCCCCATCCCAGAGAGAGTTTTCTGCTTTGGGAGGGAGAAGATACGACACAGAGTAGTAAGGAAACTATTTTTATTCAGGCTCTGCCATCAGGTGCTCCCTCTTCAGCCAGATAATCATCTGAGTCCACCTCTGACACCTACAGGCTGTGAAATTCTAAGAAAGCCCCTTAACTCACTAGTTCTAGGTAACTCCCTATCCTTATCTGGGAGTTTCTTAAGCCAATAAAACCACAGCTTTAGTCCCTACCTCCAGCCCTGAGTTGCAAGTGCTTATGGAACATCCAGATGGAGATACTTAATAGGCATCCAGAGCTGATCCATAGCTCTGGGGACAAGGTGAGTGTAGAAATAAAGATCTGGGAGTCAAATGCAAAAGAAGTGATAACTGAAACCAAGAGATAATGTAGAGAATAGCAAGTGTGAGGCAACAAGGGTCAAAGAACAGAACTATTGTGTGACTAGATCATCTATATTCTATAAGATCCTTTCTAACACCAAGATTCTATGACTCTATAAACCCAGCCACATACGAAGCTAAAAGTCACCAAGTTCCAGGAGTGATGCTTCTTGGGCCCAACTCCAGTCCCACACCCTCCACAAAACTTTCCATGACTCCAGTCCACAGTTTCTCTGAATGCTCCTGAACTTAAAGCCAGGACCTAAGAAAGCACAAGTTGCTTTCTTAATTGATAGGATAACAGACTGAGAGCTAAAAGGGACCTTAAAGGTTAGTCCAACCCCCTCACTTTACAGATGGGGAAACTGAGGCCCATCCAGATTAAGTGACCTGACTGTGGTCACACAAAAGAGTAAGGAGTAGAGTTAGGATAGAATACTCAGGTCCTCCAGTGCCAAACTTAGCACTCTCTGCGCTGCACTACACTGCCTCTTGGTTCTGTATCCCTGGCTAGATTAGAAAGTTCTTGAAAGTGAAGACTATGTTCTTATGTAAAAGCATCTTGTAAAGCATCATTTTAGGGCTCAAAAGAACGTTGAAGATCATCTAGTTCAAATTCTCATTTTATACATGAGGAAACTGAGGCCCAGAAAGAAGTGAGTTGCTTTCCCCTTCTATGACATTTACCACTAAATTTGGCTCAGAGCAAACTACATTGACAGACATTCCCATTGAGCTCTGGAAGATTCATATCACCATACAGGAAAGTGCTGGACCTGGAGTTAAGAAGACCTGGGTTCAGATCTAGCCTTAGACATGTGACATCTGTGTGACCCTGGACAAGTCACTTAACCTCCGTCTTCTTCAGTTTCCTCATCTGTAAGTTGGGGATAATAATAGCATCTACCTCCTAGGATTGGTGTGTGGATAAAATGATACAATATTTGTAAAGGGCCTTACAAAACCTTAAAGGGCTCTATAAATGCTAGCTATGTTATTGTTATTTTTAAATTTTTTATTATTATCAGAGCACAGGGGCTACATGCTTCAATTGTCCTATTGATAAGGAGAAAAATCCAGTCTTATGCATGGAAAGGACAGGTGGCTGTTAATGTGAGATGGTTAGAGAAATACAAGGAAGGCTCCAATCCCCATTATATCACTATCATAATTCCCAGAATTTTGCCATTAGAGATTAATTTCTTTGTATTGGAAGGATTTTGGCCAAGGGGAGGCAACAGCTTTAGAAGGAGTAAAAAGAGAAAGGTGCAGGTTCCCAACACAATCAGCATGGGTGCAAGGACAAGCATTTTTTAAGTGCTTAACTAGGTGCTAGGTACTATGGGTAAGGTGATGAGAGCCTTGAGTTCTAGATCTGGTCTGCTACTCTGTTGGGGGTGGGGGAAGGCAAAGCACTAGGTTTCAAGTCAAAAGGACCTGGGTTCAAATTCTTGTAAAATGAATGAAATGTCCTTTTCAGCTCTAAAGTTATAAAACTTTGAAAGTTATCATCTGTGTGACTTCGGGTATGGCTGAGCTTCTCTGAGCCCAGCTGACTTATACGTCAAATGAGGGGTTCAGATTTCTGTCTCTGAACAGGTAATGGCTTAGATCCTGAGAAAAACAGGGGGAAGCATGGGTTACAAAAAGAGGGGATGAGGGCCTGAGTGCCAAATCTCAGCCACAAATATCAGACATTCTCAGGCTGCTGAGCATTATCTCTGTCCCTGCAGGGGTCAATGTCTACTTCTTAAGTTCATTCCATTTCAGTCACAAAACTCCCAGAGAGCTGTCTGCTGTCTGCTTAGCTGACTTCAGCAGCGGGCAAGGTGAGGCCCTGGCACTGAGTCACGGGACTTACTGTTACTCTGTGTCAAATAAATAGACAATACAAAGCCAACAGTACAGTGACCCTGGGTAATAGCTACTCTTCCAACTGGCTTAAGTATTTATCTTCAGCTCAGTCACACCTTTATCTGCAGCTTGGTGACAGCGAACAGATCTGCTTCCTATCCTTCCCTTCCAACACACCACACAGCACAGCTATGAATTATTCTTCTGGCCAAAGGTGCATGTGGCAGACCCATAACTGTGGGTCGCCACATGATTACTCCATTCAAGACCCACAGTCTTACCCTCCTTCCTCCAACCCAGCTCAATAAGGCTGTTGCCCAACCACCCCTCCCATCCATCGCTCAGGGCTACAAAGACTGCAGCCTGCTCTTGGGCGTGTTTGCACGCTCACTGCAATGAGCTCACCTGGGCCTCAGCACAGGGGCACATTGTCCCAGGGAGCAGGCCCTTACAGGTTGGTCCTCACCCCAGTTTGGGTTGAACGTAGCCGCCAAGACATGTCAGTATTTTGCCACCAAACTCAACTTCCCCAAGAGGGGCTCAGCAAGTGGGGAAGAGTAATCCAGTGGGCTGAGGATATACTTGTTCCAATTTTGCCTCAACAAGTAACTATGACCCTGGGGACCAGCTCCGGTCATCTTGATTTATATCTTGCCACTGGACCAGGTGGCTCCAGAGGAGAAAGTAAGGCTGGTGACTTTGCACAGCCCTCCCTCTCACTTAAATCCAATTCACTTGCAAGTCATGGCATCACCTCCCTGACGTCATGGTCCTCTTGAAGAACTAAGGACAGACAACAACTG